GCGCGGAGGAGGCGGCAGTGGCCATGGCCGAGGCGTCGCCGCAGCCCGGACGGTACTTCTGCCACTGCTGCTCGGTCGAGATCGTGCCGCGCCTGCCGGTGAGGCGCGGGCCGGGGCGGCGGGCGGGGGCTCTCTCTCCCTTGGCCTGAAGCGAGCTGGCCCCGCCGGGGAAACTGAGGCCCGGGTCTCTGCGGAGGGCCCGGAGGCGGGGCCCACCCCCGGGGAAGCAGCGGGACCGATGATCCCAGATGCGCGGCGGGGAGGCCGCTCGGTCCCCGATGGGGAAACTGAGGCCCGCAGAGGCCGCGTGACCTGCGCTCGGCGCCCCGCCCCGGAGGAAGGAGGTGGGGGGAATCGGACCCCGGGAGATGTCTCCCGGGGGCCGTTCCCGGAGCGCGTGGTCGGCGCTGCGGGCGCCTGGCCGCGGGCCGCCTCGCCGAGCGCTCCCGCCTGCTTTCCCGATGTCGAGACGGGACGGCTGTGTACTTGGCCCGGGCCTGACAGCCCCGGGCTGACTTTCGTGACCTGAGCCTGCGCTTTTGTGCTTCCCCGGAGTGGGGGTTGGGGGGCGGGTTTAGGCCCGCCTGTGGCCAGGTGTTGCCTTCTCCTTTAGGCCAGCGTTTCCCAAACCGTGTGGTGCGGCAGGGGACTGCTTGTTCAACGCACAGTGTTTCAGGCTCCTCGCCCCGGAGGTTCCTAGTTAGCAGGTCTAGGATGGGGCCCGTGTTCCCCTGCTCCAGGCCCACAGGGAAAGCGGTGGTCTGGTTCGACCCTTTCCTATCTTACAGGTGGGAAAAATGAAGCCAGGGGAAGCGCAGGCCAGCTGTGGCCCTGACATCCTGACAGTTGTCCCTGGGCCAGCTCCCACGGAGCAGGAAGAGGGAGGTGTGGGATGGTGGAGGCCCTGCAGGTGGTGAGGATTTATTGAGCACTTTCTAGGTGCTCCTAGTACTTTGTCTTTGGCCCGCATGCTCCCCACAGTCGCCTGGGTGGTGGGTGGTGGGTGGTGGGTGGAGGCTGTTCTCGTCTCAAAGCCAGCCTCAGTCCTGCCTTCGCCAGCAGTGGGGACCCCTGGGAGGAGGGGGCCAGGGGAAGGAGTCTGTGGGCATCATCCCAGCCACAGAGGAAGGAAGTGGGCTCAAGTCAGGTTGGGAGCAGAGAGCAATGCCTGGGCCCAGAAGGCGAGAAAAGGTAGGGAGGTGCGGCTTCCAGAAGCAAGGGAGGAGGGAGAAATAAGACGAAACGTCAGCTGTGAGCACCCGCTGGGGGAGCCGACACTTGCCTCGCTCCAGCCTCCCGGAAGTCCTGCTTCTGCCTTTTCTGCTTTCTGCAGCCCCAGCTCCGTTCTCGACCGTGACCACGGCAGGAGGCGGCTGGTGGCCTGACAGCTCACCGGCCTGAGTTAGTTGCCTGCAGCCCCTTGCGGCTGGTGTGAGCCCAGGACAGGCCCTGGGACCCAGGCTTTCCCCAGAGCAGCCTGCCCGGAGCCGAGGGGGGACCTGGGGCTGGGCGGTCTGCATAGCCAGCTGTTCTGGGCCTCTCTTCCTGGGGCCAGCACAGGGCCTGGGGCCTGGCCAGGTGTGCCCGCTTCCTGGCCATGTGGCCTTGGACCCGGAGCACCCTGATCTCTTGCAGCTGTCACCGGGCCGGGGAGGACCTGCCTCAGCACAAGAATCCGGTGGTGACCAGGTATCCTTGACCTCTGCCCTCAGAGTTTATAGGCCGGTCTGGTCAGGGAGCCAGTGTTGAATAAGTGATTGGCAAATATTTAGTTAGGAATGCTGGCAAATTCCGTAAAATTAGCAAATGGCAGTAAGGTACTCGTGTGCCTGTTTGTGGGTTTCAAGGGTTCCATGAGGCCCGGTAGACAGGGTGACTGTTTACCAGTAAGGGGCGCACCTGCTGTTTCGGGATGGGAGGGTTGACCCTCAACCTGGTAGCGGTGGCAGGTCCCCGCCAGCACGCAGCACGTTCTGTTCCCGGGAGGTAGCCCTGACTTTGGCCTGCTCTAGGGCGTTGGGGCTGGGTTTTGTGTAGTTCTTACTTTTGATTTTTGTCACCGTCGTGGTACCTCCGCAGGCACTGAGATAGTGCCCGCTCTCAGGTGCTTCTCGGCAGGGTCGGGCTGAGGCCACACCCAGCCGTGCCTCTTATCACCAGCGTGGCTCTGGGTGAGGTGCTCGACCTCCCTGGACCTCCGTTTCTTCGCCTGCAAGATGGGCTTGACGAGACAACCCGTGCCCACTCGGTGGGAGCACACGTGTAGGGGGGAGCCCAGTGCCTGGCTCCCAGGACGGGGAATGGCTGGCAGCCTAGCCGGAGCAGGGCATGTGGGAGCAGGAACCAGACAGGCCGGCTGGCTTGAGGGCCTCCGAGCCTGGCACACAAGCCCAGACTCGAACCTGCCCGGGAAACGGCAGCTCTTGGGATGAGGCGGACGTGCGGGGTTGTGTGGCGCGACGGCAGGGCTGTGGAAACGCAGCGTCCACGGACCGCCACCTGGTGTGCTTGGCACCCTGGGGCTCGCCAGGAGGTGCAGGTTCCCACCAGGGGGGCTGAGCGGGTGGCAGTCCGGGGTTGTGTCCACCCCTGTGCCACAGCCCCGAGCGCCTCGCCGCAGGCGGTCCCTCCGATGGCCCTCTTCAGGCCGCCTTCTCGTTGCTGGCGACTGCTTTCCTTCTCAGGGACGGCCAGAGTGTGTGACTGGGCGGGACCTGGACCCGGAGGGCGCTGGGGGGAGGAAGCCAGCCTGTGGTCAGCGCCCAGCGGCGGTGGGTGTCTGCCCTCGCTCTCTTTAGGCCTCAGTCTACATGTCCTCTGTCCTTGCCCCTCGAGGGGCCTCGAGGAGTCCTGGCCCCTGATGCTTAGCAGAATAAGTGGAGTCCTTCCCATGGGGCACCCGGGGCCGGGCCTGCCTCCCCAGGCACCCTGTGGCCTTGGGCGGGTCCCTCTGGCCACCTGACAGCTCTGTGTGCTCACATGCCAGATGCTGTGTGTCGTGCTGGGTCCTGCCCTGTGACCAGCCGTCTGTTCACCGCTGCAGAAATCCGGGTGCTCCGACGTGTGGGCTGCCCCTCTGGGGGAACGGACCCCACCCTGCCACTCCACACAGCGGGTGCCACAGAGAGGGCTGGCATTTGCTCAGGGTCTGAAGTCAGCGGGGCAGGAAGTGAGCTGAGCCCCCAAAAGGTGGCTGGATGCTGGGCGGAGCCACATCCTAGGGCACCCCAGGCCTCTGAGTCACGTGGCACTGTGGGGAGGCTGAAGTGAGGTGGGGCTCCCAGCACAGTGGGCACACATGTCGTGTCACACGGGGTCCCGGTCCCTAGCAGTGGTGTCAGAAGCACCCTGGCAAGATCAAGGAAGCTTGTCACATCTGCTGGGCTCTGTGTGTAAGCATCACTGGCTCCCAGTGGGCCTCACACACGGCCGGATCCCGGCGTGGCTCTGCACCCCGGCATCCAGCGGTGTGCGTGATGCTCACGGGCGCTTGGGGGACAGGTGGGGTCAATGTGGGGTGTGGTGCCAGCAGGGTGGGCCTTCCGTGGGCCCCGGGCACCTGTCTGCCCAGTGGCAGCTGAGGAGGGCTATGTAGAGCAGCCAGTGCATTCCCGCGGTCTGTGGGCTGGTGGGGCACAGGCTGGGAGCACCGGCAGCAGGGGCCTGGGTGTCCCATCACGTCTGTGTCTGGGGCTGGGTCCGTGTTCCTTCGACGCAGCGCTGCACTTGGGTTCTGCCTCTCCTGGAGGGGCCTTGAGGGGCCGGGGCCCACGGAGGCCGAGGTCACTGTACAGCAGGCGATCCCGTGGGGCCAGCCACCTCTCTACCTCCCGCCCGAGTTTCCCTGATTTAATCATGCCTGCCTGGCCGTGGTGCGAAGGAGTGCCTGAGTGAAGGGTGGCGTCTGTCCCGCAGGGCTGCCCTGGCTGACCCTGGGAGACCTGGGCAGGCTACTCCCTGGTCTGAGCCCCCGGGTCCTCCTCGTCACTGAGGAGGGGCTGAATTGCACCTCTTAGGCACGGCATAGAGACCGAGCACAGAGAGCGAGCGCTCGGTGAATTTCGCGTCCGTCTGTCCTGTCGTTGGTGTTCTGCTGGCCACCGCCGTTGCTGATGATGCTGGGGTGGTCCCCTTCATTCCCTCTCCTCCTCCTAGGGGGAGAGGTAACTGATTCACGGTGAGGAACCATCAGAGACAGGCGCTCACAAGTTAGGGCCAGCGAGCGCCGGCTGACCCCCACCTGGGAAGTGGGGCTGTCACCACCTGGACCTGGGCTCTGCCCTGTGGGTGGCAGACATCCGTCCCAGCGTCTCCTGGCTTGGATGCAGATGGCCGTTACTGGCTAGTCTGATTTAACAGGAACCGGTGGGGCGTGCCCGTGGAGGAGGAGAGCACTGGGGCACCCCCAGATCTGGTCCCTTCCCTGCTGCATACAAGCAGAAGCTGCAGCCCACTCCTGAAATGCCAGGTGTCAGGTGGCCCGTGGTCAGGCCGATCTGGACTTAGCGTGGGGCTCGCATGGGGATGGAGAGTGTGGAGGCAGGGCCCTGACCGCAGCCAGCTGATGAGCCATAGCCCTCTGGTCCTCAGTGGCTGCTGGATTTCAGAGCCCTAGGGTTGAGGCCATCCTCCGTTTACAGGTGGGGAGACCGAGGCTTGCAGCCAGGATGTGACGTTTGAGCAGAGACCCGACTCCCAAGAGGGGGCAAGCCAGGTAGCTATCTGGGGGAGAATGCTCCGGCAGAGGGGATGGTGTGCAGGCCCTGAGAAGAGAGGGCAGGTGGCGGTGGCCTGGATGGGGCAGGGAAGCGGGAGTGGCGGGCCAGCTTGTTCTGAGCCGACCGCAGGGGAGGAGAGTGCAGAGCAGGTAGTTCGATGAGGTTCTTGTGCACCGCGTGGGATGGGGCTCCAAGGTGACGCTCAGAAATGGCACCCGGCCTTGGTAGCAGAAGAGGTTGCCTGTTTCTAGCAGGTCAGGCTGAGGCTGCGGCTGAGGCCGCCTGGCTCCCCGGTCCTGCCCTGGCTCTTCCAGGCTTGCCCAGGGGAGCGTGGAGACTGGGCGCGGGCGGCGTGCTCAGAGGAGAGGAGGGGGAGGGACAGCTTCTCACCCAGGCCCCCCCACCCCCATCCTGGCTCTGGAGAGGGCGGGCACACTTCTGATTTCCGTCTCCCCCGTAGGGCGGGTGTGGTGGCGGTGGGCGGGCTCCACCAGGGCCCAGAGAGAGCCTGGACCTTGCCGCCGGCCCCGAGCCAAGGGGAGCCCTGAGCAGACGCCTGCTGTCGTCTGTGACATGGCCACGCTAAGGGCTTGATTGCCAGCGTCCTAACCGAGGCCGTCGCAGCCACCTGCAGCCACACTGGCCCATGTCCGTGGCCCTCTCTCCCCTTGGGGCTGCACCAGGCCGTGGGAGCCCTGGCCCGTCCACAGAGCTTCACGCGGCCGTCTTCCACTGCAGCCAACGGTCCGAGGGTTGGTCGTTCGCTGTGGAGCCGAGCTGCCCGTTGCCCCCGTGTCCCCACTTGGGAGGGCAGGGGTCACTGTCCTCGCTGCTCCTTCTGACGGCTCTGTTGAGATACAACTCACCTGTTCGCAGTGTGCATGTCAGTGTTTTCCACACGCTCAGGGCCCTGCACCCACCACTGCTATCTCGTTCCAGAACATTCCCTCACCCTAAAAGGAAGCCCTGTCCCCGTTAGCATTCACCCTCACTCCCCCTCCCCTCCCCCGGCCCCCACGAACCCCCTTCCGTCCGTGGACGAGCGTGTTCCGGACGTTTCACACACGTGGACTCACACCCCGTGGGGCCTCTCGTGTCGGGTTCCCTCCCTGAGTGTCGTGCGTTCAGGGTTCGTCCACGGGGCAGCGGGGGTGGGCGCCTGCGCGGTGGACACGGTCATCTGTGCGCGTGCGCGGGGGACGAGGTCATGTGTGGGCGTGCGGGTGGGGGTTGCGTGGGCGTGAGTGTTCGTGTCTCTCGGGTGTGGACCCGGCAGTGGGGTCGCGGGGTCGTGTGGTGACCCTGGGGTTGACCTGACGAGGAACTGACCGCGGGCCTGTCTTCCAGAGAGCCCGTCCCGCTTCTCGTCCCCACCGCCAGCCGGGGGTTCTGGTTCCTCCACTTCCGCTGACGCTTAGCCGTAGTCGGCTGAGTGTCGCGGTCCCGGCGGCCGGCCGGGAGGTGGTGTCTCACGGGTTTCGGTTTGCGTTTGCTCGTTGCCTGACGGTGTCGAGCGGCTCTCTGCCGGTGTGTCGCCCTTTGTGTGTCTTTGGAGAACTGTTTTAACTCTTTGGTCATTTTTTAGCCGGGTTGTTTGTGTTTTTGGCGTTGAAGCGTTAGAGCTCTGTATTCTGGATCCCAGCTCCTACGGTGGGTGCAGTTCCTTCCTGTCCTCCCCAGTCGGCTCAGACAGTGTTCTTTGACCCCACCCTCCCTTTGCTTTTGGTGGCGGGGTAGGAGGGGGGACATGGCGCGTGCTGTGGTGGCACCCACTGCCCTGGTGGAGGTGCCTGGCACTCCCGGTGAGTGTCCACAGGGAGGCCTGTGCCTGCTGAGCCACCGGTGCCTGTGGCTCACGTGGGGCCATTGGCGGCCCCCTCCTTGACAGAGTCTGCATCCCCTCTGTGTCTGCCACTCGGCACGCGGGGACAGTGCTTCCAAAACGTCACCTTAGGTAGAAGCACAGCTCGCGCTCACGTCTGTGTCTTCCTGTCTGGGTGGCTTTTGGACACTCGTGCGAGCCCCCAACCCACATGTTTGGTTTTGGTGTTTCCATGCCTCGCGGCCCCTGGGGCCCGTCCTCCACTCGGGACGTTACACCTCCCCCATCTGACTGGTGGGCCTGGCTGGGGCGGGAGTGGCTGGGCTTGGAGGGGGCATGGCCAATGGGGGTGGGGTCACACTGCAGCCTGGGGTCACAGGCCCTGCGCTGGGATTGCTGGAATGTTCCAGAGATGCCGCCACAGGACACCCGCGGGCTGGTCCCTTTGCTCAGGTGGCGCTTCCCGCCCTCAGCGGCCGCCTTCCTGGGAGCTGAGCTACTGAGGCCTCGATAGTCCTGTGACCCCCACAGTCCCTCCTGCAACCTTCTCAGGAGCTCGGGGCAGGTGCCTTTATATGCAAAAGGGGAGTCTCTCACGGAATGGTCTCACGTCTCACGTCTGCACAAGTCGGGAACTGCTAGGTGGACCCGCACCAGCTGACCTGTTTGGTACAGGCTTCTTCAGAGCCTTCGACAGCTGGTGTGGCTTAGTGGAGGCCTTGAAGCTCGGAAAGTTTCGTCACCCTGAGGAGCGTGGGCTGATGGACTTTGGCACGGCAGGAGCTCACCTGGGGGCTCAGGCCTCGCCTGCACGAGGGGCAGGTCGAGGTGGCTGCGGTCATCACCACACAGAGGTGGTGGCCTCGGATGAAGGGCGCCCGCCTCTCAGACATCTCAGAGACCCGGCGGGTCTGTGCCAAATCGGACTCTGGGCCTGAGCAGTTTCACCGATGTGCCTGGAGCCGCTCGGTGTGGCCTGAGGTGGGGGTGTCCGGTGACCCCAGAGGCACGGCTGACACAGCACGGGGGCCGGGACCCCCGCGATCGCACTCACCCGCCCTCTCCTCCGCAGGATTACACCTGCCCTAGATGCGAGTCTGGTTTTATTGAGGAGCTTCCCGAAGAGACCAGGTAACCCAGCCCAGGTGCACGCTGGCAGCGCCCAGGCCCCTTGGGGTGGGCGGGGCTGTGGGCGGGCAGAGCCTGGACAGGCCTCGGTGGGCAGGGGTGAGAGGTGGAGAGGGCCTCCCTCTCTCCTGACTCAGGACACCCCATCCTCCCAGGAGTACAGAGAATGGTTCCGCCCCCTCCACAGCCCCCACGGACCAGAGCAGGCCACCGTTTGAGGTGAGTCGGGCCCCAGATTGCCCTCCCCTCCCCATGTGGACCGGTCCTCCCCCCTGACCCTTGACCACTGGGACCTGTCCTTCCTCGTTTCTCCCACACATGCCAAGGCTCCCCTGCTGTATCCTCAACCCTCAGAGCCCCAAGCCTGGGACGGGGCCCCGTGGCACACGGAGGAGACTTGGGGTCCAGGCAAGGGGCTGGGTCAGGTAGGACCCGGGTGGCTGCTCAGGGCTCCACGGTCCCATGGCCCTCCTCCCCACAGAAGGTCCTCGGGGCCCTGCCCTCCCCCCGCCCCGTGGTCACATTGCCCTCCCCCTCACAGAACGCGGACCAGCACCTGTTCACACTGCCACAGGGCTACGGGCAGTTTGCTTTCGGCATCTTTGACGACAGCTTCGAGATCCCCACGTTCCCCCCTGGGGTGCAGGCCGACGAGGGCAGGGACCCTGAGAGCCGTCGGGAGAGAGAGCAGCACTCCCGGCACCGGTATGGCGCCCGGCAGCCTCGCGCCCGCCTCACTGCACGACGGGCCACCGGCCGGCACGAAGGCGTCCCCACGCTGGAAGGGTGAGGGCGCTTGGGGGCAGCCAGCGGGTGGGACGCTCCCGAGAATCTTGCAGCCTGCCCCACGCTGACTTAGGTGGCCTGACCGTCTGCCCCTCCAGAAGGTTCTGTGGTTACAGAGGGGCGGATGCTAGCTCTGGGGCTGACCTGTGGGCGGGGCACTTCCCCTGTGCATCCAGGCAGAGCCCACCGTGCTGAAGAGCTGTGGAGGGGGGCCCCTACAGTATGGCCCGGGGGGCCTCTCGTCCACTCCAGTGCCTTCCATCCTTCTGGAGGGGGGTCTGTCCCCCGACTCCCTCATCCCCATCTGTTCAGACATGGCCGATTCACGTTTGGGTCCTTGTCTCCCAGGGCGGCAGGCAAGTGGGGTGGGGTTTTGGGCCCCCCTGCTCCACCACAAAGCCCCGAGCTCCCTCCGTGTCGGCGTCGGCACCAGGAACGGTTTCTCTGTAACCTGAGGCTTGTTCAGAGGACTTGGGGTGAAAAGGAAACATTTTTCTGAGGGCCCCACTCCCAGAGAACATAGGGTCCTCCAGCATCTTCGTAGATGCAACCAGGCTGTGCACAGAAGTGCCTGTGTCACAGGGAGCCCCGACGCTCTCTGCTCTGTTCCATTCCAGCCCAGGACACAGCCTGGGCTGCCCTGACCCCCCAGGTGTCTCGTGTTCGTGAGCTGCCCTGTAGCAGCCCCTCGCCCCCAAGCTCGGACACGGGCTTCCCTGTGACCTCAGCCGGACGTTGCGGAGCGTCTGCAAACAGCAGGGCTGGGGATCCCTACCCCCCAGGTTGTAAAATAGGGAGCAGATGCGGTCGTGAGTTAACGGGCACAGTCCAGGCCTCTGGGAAAGCTGGCCCGAAAATCTGCGAGGGAGACACTTTTCTCGGCCTGTCTTGTGTTTGATTGCTTGCAAATCTTGCTGGTTGAAAACACAACCTTTAAAACACTGTGAAGCTCAAAGCCGGACACGTGTGTCCTCTGCTGCCTCCCCTGGGGGTGCCCAGCCTTGGAGGGCGCTGACCACGGGCCGGGCCCCGCTCTGTTCCAGGATCATCCAGCAGCTGGTCAATGGCATCATCACTCCTGCCAGCATCCCCAGCCTGGGCCTGGGCCCCTGGTGAGTAGGTGGGCGGGTCCCCTCGCGCCCTGCCCAGCCCCTCTGCCACTTGAACCCCAGACCTCTCTGCCCAGGGGTGTCCTGCACTCAAACCCGATGGACTACGCCTGGGGGGCCAACGGCCTGGATGCCATCATCACGCAGGTACAGGGTGGCCTCCCCGAGGTGGGCACCAGGGTGTCACCATCTTCCGGGGACCAGGATGTCCCTGGTGTGGATGCCCTGCTCCCCATTACTCCCATCCTGAGGCCGGGGGGCCCCGTGTGGACCTGCACGTTCTCCTGAGCTGTCCCTGGGGATGGGGCGTTCACCATGACCTTGGTGGCCCTTGTGCGGTAGGAACGCTGCCAACTTCGTAGCCTTTCGCTGGTGAACTGGTGGTGAACGTGGCCACAGCCAGGCCCAGCCCTTTGGTTCTAGCGGGTGAGAGGACTTAGGGTGGGACCCTCGGCGCTGGGAGGGGCCTCCCTGACTGCAGGGTGACCCCGACAGGATGAGCAGAAGAGTGGACAGGTGTGGGGGGCAAGGGGGCTCGGCCTCGGCGGAGGGGGGGGTCCGGGGCCCCAGAAAAACACAGCCTTGGTGCTTTTGCAGCTAACCCGGCCTTGCGTTTCAGAGCCCCGCGGGGCGAGGGGCCGCGCCTGCCTGTCGAACTCCTGGCGCTCTGGCCTCTTGTCTTTCAGCTCCTCAATCAGTTTGAAAACACGGGCCCCCCCCCCAGCAGACAAAGAGAAGATCCAGGCCCTCCCCACCGTCCCCGTCACCGAGGAACACGTAGGTAAGTGGCTCGCCCCCTCCCGGGGACACCTGGGGTGGGGGGTCCCCCGGTCTCCGCCGTCACAGGCTCCCTGCCCCGCAGGCTCCGGGCTGGAGTGTCCCGTGTGCAAGGACGACTACGGGCTGGGAGAGCGCGTGCGGCAGCTGCCCTGCAGTCACCTCTTCCACGACGGCTGCATCGTTCCCTGGCTGCAGCAGGTGAGCCGGCCCCTGCCCACCCCCAGGCCGAACCCTGGCCCTGGCCCTGGCCCTGGCCCCTGCCCCCGCCCCCGCCACAGGCTCGGCCCCTCACACCCCCC